TGAGGTTCTTACCCACGAAAGCTTATGCTCCCAATACTTCTGTTAGTCTCAAAGGTGCCACAGGACCCTCTGTTGCTTTTTACAGATTCAGACTAACACAGCTACCCCTCTGATACTTGAAGGTAGAGATGGTATCATTATATTAAGTGAGCTCAAGAAAGTGTAAGCTAGAATATGAACATGAGTTCCATTGTACAGGTGAGCTTATCAGAAGAGGCTTGATAAATGCAATTTATAAATATGGTTCTACCATTTATCTTATTGGTATCATCATTTCATAAATAGTATGCACAAACCAATGATATACAAACGTTTGGGAAATATCAGTAGAATTCAAGTGGTAATCATGTTATAAATGTAATTAGTAGTCCAGTATCTTGCAGAAACATTCTTCTAGGTAACAACACACCAATAAGAAACAATTTTGATGTAGAAGTAAGATAGTGGGAATTAAGGAAGATTAACAGGACTAATATGAGAAGAGTAAGCAACATATGCCAAATCCCTTATTATATTACGGAGACAACCACCATTATCTGCCTTTGAGTTTTAAAAAAAAATCTGATTTTTATTTGAAAACACTGGTTTTCACCCACCCTATCTTAGATTAAATCAGATTTTAATTTTAGCACTGCATTTCAGCATTAATGCAAGCACATTTTGTATTTTGTGCGGAGAACTTTCAAATTTAGTCTCACTGTGGATGATGGACAAAGAAGTACCAGATCATAAGCTGTTTTGGGAGAATTAGGACTAAAAAATAAATTAAGTATAGTGCTGCATGGAGTACTTTGAAATACAGGTAATGAAGCAGAACACCTATTGCCACTTGTAGTAAAGAAACATTGACAATTAAAAACAAAGTTAAACTTACTTGAGTCTAGCATGTTCTTCCTTGGATTTGTAGACAGCCTGCTGAAACCGATCCATCTCTTGACCCATCATGACCTCTTGATCATGGACGGTCTTCAACTGGTCTTTCAAATGGGCTATTTTTTTCTGTCTTTCCAACTTTTCAGACTCTGAAACTTGATCAGCACTGTAACAGTACACAGACCACAATTCAATATTTTAAAATCACACAGAATGGATGACAGTGAAAAGAACAAAAATACTGTACAATTGTTTAAAACATACATTTTAGCATTTAACAGGTTTTATTAAGCAAGCATATCCAACATTATTCAACAGCAGAAAAACCTGTCTGTTGTCTGGCTTGCATGTGACACTTTCTAAATAAATGCAAGATCTATTTGGGATCATGATCACATATAGTCTGGCTGATAACAATGAATTTCCCTTACCCAAAACAAAATTAAACATTTCCAAAATAAACTAAAAAAAGCAATTAGATAAGTGAATAAAATTAGATATGGAGGTGTGTTAATTTAAGGCAGGATCTACATCTAAGAAACACAGAAGGGTAACTATGGCTACCTACCACAGGTGCACAATGCAGAACAAAGAATTTATCTATTTTTAATATTGTAGAAATTGAACAGGTTTTTTTCATGTTTGTTTTAAAACGCACATCATGGCAATGTCTATCTTGCTTTCTTTGAGCAATAAGTGCTCTATAACAATAAGCAGTTCCCACAGAAAAAACTGGAAATAAACCTTGTAACTAAAAATAAATACAAAATAAAATAAGGTTGTTTTTGTTTTGCCCAACACTCCCCCCTTTAAACAACACACGCACAGTATGTTTAGAACCTGTACCACATATATTACAAGTTATAGGACCTGAGTGTCATCCATTCTCCCTGACACTGCTCAAATAACCAGTCCCTTATGATATAAGCACAAATGTTATCAATTTGCTCATGCGACATTCATTTTACAAAGCAAGTTTGTGTCTTACTGCAAGGTGTGGATGCACACAACAAATACAATGTTTTCCCTTTGTCTCCCTAGTGCCCTTCTGTACAGAACTTGCAGGAATTTATACCACAGCTTGATGATGAAATCAACACTATGCCTATGACCCTAAAGAGCCCCTGGATGTGTAAAGTATCAAAAGCTTATATCATACTGATCATCATAAGCCTTGCAAGAGGTATATATGGGTGTTACACAACAAGTTGTATGATTATACTAAAAATATGTTTAAAGTAAGCAAGGATGATATACAAAGTTTTTACATTAATTTACCTGTCTGCCTAGATCTTCAAATGCAGAATAAGTCAAACACAAAGGAAGCCCTATTTACATGTCAAGTCAACAGGAAAACATGCTGGCTGGGGGGAGTGGAGAGGAGAGTTGTAATCAGCATGGGACGCCAAGGCCACAGGGTGTTATCTGGTCTCTGGGGTCAAAACAATGTTTTGGAGAAATATAACCTGAAGCAAAAAGACCTTCTGTTATCCATTTACTGAGGAGAACCCAGTAGATCCTGATTTGACTGAAAAATCAGCAAGCTCTACAGAAAAACTGATTGTGAGAAAACTCCTTTAGTCAAAGGACTGGCTGGTAGGGAGTAGTCTGTTGTAAAAGAAGTAGAGCCTTTGATCACAACTGAGCCTGGACTAGGGCTCAGGGTTTCCCTAATCAGCAGGCCTCTCAAAGCAGCCAAGCGGTCAGCCAGCACACAGAGCTGAAAACAGGGTGAGTATGATGTTCTGGGGTTTATTTATTTATTTAGGACAGCAGCTTAGGGGGGAAGGCTATTACAGCTACAGAAGCAGCAGTGGTAGGGGCTCGAGGAATGGAATGGACAATAAAGATGCCTGGATGTGGAAGCTGCGAGATATACATTATTCTAGAGAGGGTACCTGAATGGTGCTTCATTTGTACATTATTCTAGAGAGGGTACCTGAATGGTGCTGCCTGACAGATCTGATGGAAGAGAAGATCCGAGGTCTAGAGATGCAGCTAGACACTATAGTTGAGTTTCGATGGGAATTTCATCAGATGATGGAGGCTGAAGGGAAAACTCAAGACTTGCAGATACAAGCTGGACCAGATAACTGTGAAGATAGATTGCTGGATGAGGAAGGTGGCCAATGAAAGCATGTGACTATGAGAAAAAGGCAGAAAAAAAAAGACTGACTAGCAAAAGAGCAGAGGAGTGTGTTTGCTGAGTTGCAAAATGAAGGAGTGAGGCAAGTAGTAACAGAAGAGCAGCTAAGTCCTACAAGAAGAGGGAAAGTCAATGGAGATAGCCAGAGCTCAGAGCCCCGGGAGGATAAAGGATGACTCACGAAGATTTCAAATGAGAACAAAAGACAAGACGACTTGCAACCAGAAAGAACAGAAGGAAGGAGGCAGGCCAGAGAATTGCACCACCACCAGGAAGAGAGGGGGTATGTGACTGAAGACTCCCTACCAAGAACAGCAAACAGGCCTGCCACCAGAGCTGATGCAGAGACCAAAAGGATGGGCTGTCTGCCAGGAGCTAAGATATGAGATGTGGACCTGAGGCTGAAGAAGATCATAATGGGAGCAGGAAAGAATCCAAGTGTCCCTCACGTGGGAGCAAATACACCTCTACCCCGATATAATGCTGTCCTTGGGAGCCAAAAAAATCTTACCGCGTTATATCGAACTTGCTTTGATCCGCCGGAGTGCGCAGCCCCACCCCCCTGGAGCGCTGCTTTACTGTGTTATATCCAAATTCATGTTATATCGTGTAGAGGTGTAATACTGTTAGATTCTCACTGGAACACACCAAGGAAGACTATGCCAGGCTGGCGAAGATGATTAAAGAAATAGAGGCTCAGGTGATCTTCAGTGGGATTCTACCTGTCCCTAAAGGAGGAGAGCGAAGACGAGACAAGATTATGATGATCAACAGATGGCTCAGGAAATGGTGCTATAAGGAGGGCTTCGGGTATTAAAGGGTATGTGCCATTCTGGAAAGACAGAAATAAAGGCAAAGGTGGTGGAGTAGCATTGTGTACTAATGACAAAATAGACTGCAAAGAAACTAGAAGTGATGAAATGGACAAAAAATGAATATGTTTGGGTCAAAATCACTGAGAAAGATACGGAACAGAGGCTCTAATAGGATAGTGCCTGGTGTCTGCTAGATTCCCAGGATCCCATCTGGATATTAAATTAAAAATGTCCCTATCCATAAATACTACTGGGAAGTGTGTGATTATGGGAGACTTTAATGTCCCAGGTCCAGATATGAGCACAATTGTTACTAATACCAATAGGGCCCAGGTATTCCTGGATGTGATAGCTGACAAATTCAAGGTCATTCACTTAGGAGCTAGCAAGATTTTTTGCTATAAGCTGGGGACATATCAGTTGGAAATGACAGAGAAGGAGAAAGACCTGGGTGTATTTGTTGATCACTGTGAGCCATCAATGTGATGCAGCCATGAAAAAGGATAATGCAATCCTAGGATATATCCAGCAAGATATTTCCAGTAAAGACAGGGAAGTGATAATTCCATTGTAGAAGGCACTGGTGAGACCTCCTCTAGAATACAATTCTAGAATGCAATTCTGGTCTCTCATGTTTAAAAAAGATGAATTCAAACTGGAATAAGTGCAGAAAAGGGCTACTCAGCTGATTAGAGGAATGGAATACCTACCTTATGAAAGGAGATTAAGGAGCTTGACTTGTTTAGCCTAATGAAATGAAGGCTGATATGACTGCTCTCTATAAATATATCAGAGGTATAAACACCCTGGAGAGAGAGGAGTTATTTAAGGGCCAGTGTTAGCACAAGAACAAATAGGTATAAACTGGCCATCAATAAATTTAGGCTTGAAATTAGACCAAGGTTTCTAACCATCAAAGGAGTGAAGTTCTAGAACAGCCTTTAAGGGGTGTAGCGGGGGCAAAAATCCTAACTGGCTTCAAGACTGAGCTTGTTAAGTTTATGGATGGGATGATTAGACTGCCTACAGTGGCATGTGGCCCATCCATGAGTGCTATTAGTAAATATTTTAACGGCTGGAGATGGGACACTAGATGGGAAGGACTCGGAGTTACAATGGAGAATTTTTTTCCAGGTGTCTTGTTAGTGGGTCTCGCCCATATGCTCAGGCTCACCATATTTGGACTCTGGAAGGAATTTTCCCACAGGTCAGATTGGCAGAGACCCTGGGGGTTTTTCACCTTCTTCTACAGTGAGGGGCACAGATCACTTGCTGGTCTGAACTACAGTAAAGGGTCGATTCTCTGTAACTTGAAGTTACAGAGAAAAAAAGGCAAACTATTTTCTTTAAAAGTAGAAAATAAGGATTAAAATAAACACGCAAGAGTTAAAAGATCAAATAAGGAACAAGAAACAGGCAATCATGGCAGTTCATGTATGGTTAAATAGTAACAAAAGTGGAAGTTTGGGGGGTTTTGAGCCCTTGCCTAAGTGTTTTACATTCCTCTTGCCCTCCAACTGTTTATCGTTTGCCTTAGACTATATGTATATTCCTGCATCTAGGTCAGACTTCTGAATGGTATAGCTTTAAATTCTTCTGTCAAAGGATTTAGCCCTGTTAAGAGCAATAAATGGGCAAGTAACTTTTCTTTTTCTTTTTTAAATCAAACCTCAATTCCCTACCCCCAGCCAAAAAATTCACTCTTTCACCAGAAATGTGTGTCAAATAAACTCACAGATGACTATAGTAGGTGCCAATCACACTAAAGACAACACACAAAATAGCAAGAATACAACCACTACTAAAGCAGTACACATTAAAGGACTTCTGCTCCTGGTAAAAGCTTTAAATACATGCTTTAGTCCAGGGATTCTCGCAACAAAATTTTTGGTGGCCTCAGAGTGCCGCCACCAACTCTTGCTGGTGGCCACTCTGAGAACTTCTTCTAAAATAATTAACTTTAGGAAAAACAAATAAATATGCACATGTCTAAATCATTGTAATTTATCTATATAGGGGTTTGTTTTTTGCAGACTCAATAATAAAAAATAATGTACAGTTGTCTCTATTCTTTACTGGACCTACACAGAATAGAAACACAAATAAGGTGCTTTGAACATTCTTGCCTTTTTTCTTGTTGTTTCTTTGGGGGGGGGGGTGTTTTGCTTTGGGGTTTGTTTGTTTGTTTTTAAGACTTGCTAGCTATAAGTATACTGTGAAAAGTGATATTTGTATGTTTGTTAATATCATTTTTCATAGCAGACTTACTCAACCCCTGCAAGCCCGGGAACAAAGCCCAGAAAGAACCTCTGGATAGGGAGGTGGCTACAGAGACAGCGAGTGCCAGAGGTGATGGGGCGGGTGAGCTTGGGGCCAGAGCCCGCCACCGCGCAGCCAGGGAATGGAGCCCAAAGCCTTACACCCTGGGGACAGGGCCTGAAGTCCTGTGACTGCTGCCTGCCGCCCACCTCCCGAGGGCTGAAGCCCAACCCCACCACCTCCGGCAATGTAGGGAACTCACTGACTGCCTACTCCTCCAGCTTGTCTCTCTCCAGAGGTGGGCAGGGCCCAACCACTGCTGGCGGCTCCTGGGGAGGAGGGACCGCTGCTTTACCCCTCCCCCCGCAAGCAGTTCCCAGAAGGGTGGGCCTGCAAGAAAAGCCCCTGGTGGCCGCATGCGGCCACAGGGGCTGCATTTGAAAAACGGTGGTTTAGCCTGTGTCCTCTGAAATTAAATTGTGTTTGAAGCCATGTTATCTGGTTCTAGATATTTAAATGAATACTCAAAATAGGAGAGCCTCAATTTTTTTTTTTTAAGAGAAGTAAACTCAAAAATGTAACATCTAGAGAGAGTAACAACTTGAACTCCAAGCTTCAGTTCACTAAAGGTTTTTGTAACGGAGACACTGACATCTCGGATATTAGTTTATAGTAAAAATGCCAAATCAGCCTTGCATATAGTGAAACATACCTGGAAGGCTTGCTCTATCAAAAAGCCAGAGTTTTCTATTTTGTTTCCAACTTCACCCGTCAAAAGTTACATTGGACCAAAAAGCGTGTATCTAAAGATGTCACTTCTCAGAACTATACTTCTTTTCTCACATACCATACTATTTTCAATTGAACTGGCTATTAATAGTGATTAGAAAAACAAGCCAGTCTGTGTGTGTAAATCAATCCCAGGACAGAATTTTCAACATTTTTATATTTTGCACTTTAAGCAAAATTAGAGAGTAGTGAAAATCTTAAATTCTGTTGGAAGCTAGAGTTTTTTTTAAATAAAGATATTGGATCATCCAATTCTGAAGAGCTCATTCTCTACATTCCACAAACGTGTAGTACAAACACTGTGGGGCATTTACCTGTTTTTCAGTTCTTCAATTCGTTTCCGTAGCTGTTCATCATCTTTTTCTAGTCGTTTTAATTCTGTTCTAGAACGATTATAATGTGCCTACCAAGAAAATTAGACATATATAATATGTTAATTATTATTTGTACTGGCTTACTTGGTCTTCAAAAAGAATACATCAAACACATCTACTATTTTTCTGAAGATAAACACTTATGTCATTTGATTTACCATTTTGCAATACCGCAGCAGAAGATTAGAACTTGAATGTCATGCTAATCATTTTATCAGTTCCTTTTCTAATTACGTTAATGTGGCCCCAATAGCCATCCGATCTTTAGTACTATTATAAAGGATGTGCACCCTATGGTCCTGATCACACAACTGGCTCCATTCAAGTGGAAGCCTCCATATGGATGAGCTGTTTGGCCCTGTGCATCCTCTTGGGGTGGGGGTGCCTCTACTTTGCCCTTTATTCTGCCTCTTCTAGGCCTTTTTACAGAGACTCCAGACATTTGCTTGTCCATTCACCACTCTTACAGGGGTGTGGGTTTATTCCAAAAATAACTCAAAAGTAAAACACAGAGTCCCAAAAATCTGTCCCAAGGCATGGCTCTTGCCTCAGAGACTGGTGAGAGAAAGGGTTCTTTCCTCTAGTACCCTTTTTTTTTTTTAAATTGACTTTTTAGGAGTCACCAACCTGTGGTTTGGCTTGCAGCTGTCCTGCTCAGAGCTGACATCCTAGAATCACCTCCCTCAAACAACTGCTTCAGCTCTCTTATTAGAAATCAGCTGTTTGTGGTTCCCTCCCCATGCAAGGTGTAACTGGTTAGCTCATTTAGCAAGCCTGCTCCAGGCTTCAAGTCTCCTGCAGGCAGCTCCCTCACTCCCTGTACTGTCTCACACTGCACTTGCCTTAAGTCCCTGTGATTTCAGTGGGCCTCCACATAGATGCAGGAGTCCACCTGAGCAGAGCTCAACACACAACCGGGGCCTTTTTCATAAAGAACAGAAGGGATCAATGTGGTCATCAAGTCTGACCTCCTCTATACACAGGCCATAGAACTTCCACAAAGTAATCTAAACTACAGCATGTGTTTCAGAACACCACCATTAGCATTATAGAATTAGAAAATGTGTTTTTCCACCAACCTCAGCCTCGTTGTATGCTTTTCTTTTTGCTTGTACATCAGCTTTCAAACACACACACTGAGGCTGTAATGCTTGTGCTTCTTCACTGATCTTCTCTAACTTATGTTGGATGGCCTTGTACTTTTCTTCTGCTTCGTTTACTTTGACCTTACAACAAAATATAGAGAATACATGAGCTCACGTAATGAAACAAAATATTTTATTTCCACAACTCTTTAAACCAGGAAAAGCTTTCTGAGACAAACCTGAAGCCAGCTATTTGAAGTGATTTTTTCCCCAAAATATATTCCACAGTGACATTAGAAGATACGAGTAAGTAGGTCCATGGTTTAAGGAGCGTATAAAAAGTTACCCAGTAGTTATCCTTTGAGTTGAAAAATTTAATGCCAAGAGTTTGTTTTGTTGTCTGGCAAAATTTACTACATTTGAGTTATCAAATGTGTGGCTTGTGGGAAAAGTAAAAGGATATTTGGCTCTGCACATTTTAACACTATAAACCAGAAACTTTGAAAAAAGAGTCACAAGTAGTGTCACAGTGTGACTAACTCCTTTAAGGAGGAGCAGGGTCGAGAGCACCTGTGCCTGATTAGCTGCCTCCCAGCATACTGAGTTTATAATTGATATATTTAAGGTTTGCCATGTTTTAGAATGTACCTTAAGACACTGTTTAAAATATTTCCATATTTAACGCGGTTTAAGTTACAAGCCAAGTTTATGGAGGAAAGCTTTCAGTATTAAGCTAATGGTTCTGTTGCTGTCATTGTAATTGCTGTGTCAGTCCTTAACAAAAAAATTTATACATTTATACATGTCAAAAGAAAAAAAATGGAGTTAAAAGACGACACCTGGGCCAATAAAAAAAAAAAAAATAAGGAAAAAGCATGTGATAGCTGCCTGGAAAAAAATCAAAGAAGCATGCAGAGGAGGGCTGCCTGAGAACACAAACTGAAAGAGCAAGGAGAGGTGCAGGTGAGAGCTGCCTAAGGATCAGTCAGAAAAAGGACTAGCCTGTTGACCTTCCTGAGCTGGAGAGCCAGTGGCAAGAGATTGAAAAGGGCTGAGTTGTTGGACTGTGTTTTGGGCAGAAGAGTCATGAGACTGGTCATTCTCTCAGATGGATGGCATGGAGAGTAGGGATCTGGAACAAGGGCAGAAAGGAACTGCTTGTAGACTCACGGGTGGATGACCGTAAAAGTGATATCTCTAGAGAGAATGGAAAATCAATGTATCTTTCTGTTTTACTATGGGAACTGGGAGAACGGTTTTACGATCGTATGTGTACATGAATAAATTATGCCCAGAGGTGAGAATCTGAATTAGACAATGAGAGCATTTTTTATATGGCTAGACAGAGGGGAAACTGAGATGGATGCATGGATTGTGCCACAGCCTACTGCAAGAGGGTGCTCCAGGTGGTTGGTTGCCTTATTAAAAGTAGTTTCCAAGTACATCTACCTCTGTTTCCTTTGTTCTTGTGGTTTTACAATTTTTTTTACATTATTTTTATTTTAGGATATGTTCTCATTCCCTGAGGCACAGAGGACCCCTACAGAGGAAAATCCATGAAACTGATCAAACACAAAGTGCTGACAAAGGCACAAAATAAACCATTTCAATTACTGTGATAACCATATGTAAAATATTTCAGAGAGAAGTGAGATTAAGCTAATACTCCAGCTGAAAAAAGTAACTAAAATCAGCTTCATTTTAAAAATGTGTATTTGGCTCATATGCAATTTTCAGAGATGAACAAGTGCTTTGCTAAGTTTAAAAAAAACGTTGAGGGATTTTAATGACTCAAAACAACACACAGAACAGCAATTTTTAATATACCCAGTGAGGAACTGATTTTCTATGCATATCACCTGAATATCTGATTCATCAGATCCCTCTCTTAACACATCTGAAAGTTCCAGTGCCATGAAAAGTCAATTTAGTCTTTCTTTGCGGAATACTTGTGCCTTTCACCAGTGGTCTCCAGCTCTCAACTGGCCAATGATGACTTGACGTAACACACACGACAAATGTTAATCACATTGCTTAATACACGATTGAAAGGCACTCATACTATGGTGATAAGCATTGTATAAGAGTCTATATAGAACAGAATTAAAAGTAACCATCATTCAAATACTACTCACTGGCCTATGCAAAATTGATCATCTCAGTTTGGTTCTCAGTCAGTGATTCCACATCACATCACATCGACAGTCATTGAGTGAATCAACAAAACAAAAAACCTAGGACTCAACAAGTACAGCGAACAAACTATCTTCCCATCCTAGAATTGGTCCCCAGTGAAGTGGGGTGGTGAATAAGCACTAATATGACCATGAAGGTTCAGACTGCTAATCAATAGTGCATAAATAAAGACTGCTATTTAGATATGGTGTTTAGGCTATAACTGGAAGAAACTGAGTAGATAGCTCTGATAATCTACTTAACAGTGGAGAATTATAAATTTAATTAAACTAATTTCACTGCCTCACTAAAACAGAGAAGATAAAAAGTTTGGGAGCAATTCCAAGGGCAAGTTAATGATAAAGTAAGGAAGGAGTCTTTTAAATGTTAAAAAAAATCTACAGAATCAGAATTTCAATGATGTCATCCTTTGTGACATGGCAGGGGAGACTCACTGTCCACCCAACCACCTTCCAACTTCAAGTATCCTGTCTGTGGAAATTTTGATTAAAAAGTCATCAGAAATGGATTGAGAGGAGTGGCATTAAAAAGCCCTTTCTCCCACAAACATAATGGTACCAAACACAACAAACCTAGAACAATTATATAGATATATATTCAAGAAAATGTTTAAAAATCAACTTTTTAAATTATAATTTAACATATGCATGTCAAATATGTTGCCCTCACAAAGTTAAATTGTGGCCCTTGACTGATAGCATTAGCTTATAACACAGTACTAAGAATATGAAACCTGATTAGCTCTTTGAATGTTACAAATGACTATAAACGGAAGGAGTGCTTCAAGTTGATTTGCCATCTTCAGCAAAAAACGAAGTTCAGTGGTATTGATTATCAGCTTTGCTTATTATGAGATTTTACTACATTATGCTTCCAGACTAAATTCAGAATTAACATGTTGTTTAAGACAACCCTACCTGCCATTCCTTTAGCTTCTGGTCATACTTTTCAGTACGTCCTTCCTCAATATCAATACTATCTTTGATTGGTTTCATTTCTTTTTCAGTTTCATTCACCTGAAATGTTTAAAAGAAAGACTGAAGTATACAACACACCAGTCAAGGTAATCTGAAGATAAATTAAGTGAACTTGAGTTGAAGAAAAAGATATTCTAACAAGAAAGTTACCACTGCCCAGGCCATTTGGTGTTTCAAAGCCTCTAGGTTGGTTTGCATTTCACTCACGAAAGCAATACTTTTGTAGCGCTCCTCTTTCTCGACATAGTGCTGCTTAAGGTCTTGAAGAAGCTAAAAAAAGTAAAAGATTCAGATGTTAATGAGCATAAAGGATTGTTGGTTTAGTATGGAATTGTAGAAGGAAAATTTTTTAAAAGTTTAAACTGACTCAGATTAATCAATTTAAGCAACCCAGCTAAACTATATTACAAGTTGATAGTTAATTTATGGTGCAACTGTATTTTATAATGGGTAATATCTGTATTTCTTTTATTATTTCAGTGTCCATTAGTGTAGTAATTAACCACTGTAACCTTTACATACCTCTACTCCTTGTTCTATCTGTTTATGAGTTCTTGACTTAGTTTCCATAATGTATGAATAATCAGCTTTCATCTGCTCCAGCTGGGTTGCTTTCATAAAGAACTAAAACCAAAGAAGAGAGAGATTGAAACGTCAGCTTTGGTAAAACTGTGTAAAGTGAATTAAGTGGATTTTAACAAACTGTTATAAAACGTGCACCCATCCAATAGTCTGAGCACCCTAAACAGTCTTATAAAACATTAAGCCAATGCATCAGACCCTGCAGATCACATAAAATCAAATAACCCAGCAATAACATAACATAAATAACGGAACTACAATAAGTACTTAACCGCCCTATACAATCCCCATAGTCCCACACCACCATTACCCAGACCTACCAACAGCCATCTCCTCACAGGCCAGGGAGTAAAAGTAAGCTTTCCAACTTGCTTTGAAGGCTGTCAAATTCAATTAACTTTTTTTTCCCAAAATTATTTTTCAATGCCATTGGTAAATCCTTTACACAAATTTGAAACAAATATATTCCCACTTAAATCATATTTTTTCTGAATATAACTCTGCTTTCATTGGATTGCATGCAACAACCTCACAGAAGTTTTAAAAATTAAAAATGACTGAACAGGAACTGTATTTTACAATATTTTATTTAAATGCCATTGATCCTGCTGAAAGGTTTCAGAGTAGCAGCCGTGTTAGTCTGTATCCGCAAAAAGAAGAACAGGAGGACTTGTGGCACCTTAGAGACTAACAAATTTATTAGAGCATAAGCTT